TTTACAGTCGAACGGCAAAATTCCTCCAAATTCAACACTTGCCGCTGCCATGTTGATTTATGCGAAGGTACTGAACATCCTCGTCGCCAGTGTTGTATTCTGTCCGTAACTACGTCTCTTTAATCACATATAAGATAACTAACAACAAACGAATTCAATCGACATCCCTCGCTCGTCGCTCCACGTGTCATTACCTCTTCAGGTCATGTGACCGACACAACAGCTGTTGTTGGAATTAAACGTAGATCACTACGTCTTGAATGTCGTATGTTGGATTTGACTCAATTGCTTGAAGAGGAAGTGAACTTGCTTCTGGCCATTTCTACCCCTGAATCGAGATACAAAACGTTTCAAGATAGAAAGCGTCTTTTATCTGGGCGACAGCTTTCACCCGGAAGTGAAGTTTATGTGAAATTAAAGTAGCTTCAAAGGGAATTCGTGGTATCGTATGGTACAAGGGTGAATTACCCCCTTATTCCGGAGCATGGTTTGGAATTCAACTTCTTGTAAGTAAGCACTAGGGTTGATACATGTGTGGGAGCTTCTTTCGGCCCCGAGGGGTTTACTGACTGCATTGACTTTTTTAAGGATTTCTTTAAGTTTGAGTTTGCAGAGTGCAATTTTTTGTTTTAATGTATAACCTACTCAAATCTGAAGACTTATGAGACATTGCACATAACTTTTCTGTTTCATTGCTTACAAAATGATGTAATTTCCAGAAGGTTTGTACGATGCAAGGAGTTATTGGATCCTGTTCTTAGAAAGTTCCCCTTACAATTTTAGGCCCAGGTTTATTTCATATTGTTTGATTCTGGCAAATGTATCCAAAACCACACTTGCATTGAAAGCATGGAGTTTGGATAGAGACTGACTATAGCACCATAGAAAGCCTCTCAGCCTTTAAAACAACAATGAACTAAAAAGTAAAGTTGAAAAACAGACAATTTATGACTATCGTACGGTGGAATGGTGGTTTGTTATGTTTTAAAAACAAAAAAAGATATGCAAACATGGCCAGGGATGAAAAATACCATCCTGGGATTAACTTTTGATGATTGCGGCTTTATGTCAATCTCACTTTTAAAGGTAACATAACTCTGAACGAGAGGTACTAAATTAAATTCAGATGGACCAGTTTTGTCATGGAAGTGCTTTCAAATGTTGGATTGGTAAGAGCCTAGGCAGTTAAATGTCTTTTTTGTAGTTATTTTGTATGTTCACATCTCAGCCCCAGTAGGAAGTGACTTTGGATATCCCACTTATTTATGCTTATTAGGTTATATTGGAATGGTTAAGTATTCAGTACATGAAAGTTACCCAGTGGTTGTTGTGGATAAGTTTTCTATCACAAAGTCATCAGCTACAAAGCCAGAGAGATTAGGGGGCATCAAAACCACACTTAGTGTTGCTGTTCTTGATAGCACATTTCATCCCTAGATTTACCTTGTTGAGAAAAAGGAACCTCCTCTATCTGGTCTTGCTCTCCATGTAAGACTGTCACACAGAAGTTGGGCAGAGTTGCTGAAGCATAAAGTCCTGGTTTACAAGATACAACAGTCAATTCTTTCAACACAGAGCCTTAAGCAACTGTTGGCGAAGCTTTTAATTAGGAGGTCATTTAAAAATAAGTTACCAAACAGAGAAAAGGAGAGATGGTAAGTTTTGAGCTTGCTAAAGAAATGGAGAAAGATGTTTTTCATCTTATCTGGAGGGACAAAATGAAAATTCTAAGTCAAGTCAGGAATCGAACCTCAGACCTTCTGATCTCGCACTCCAATGTTCTATCACTGAGCCACAGGGACTCCATGCTGAGCAAGGCCCATTACAAATTTCTCATATGACAATGCATCCTGCATACTACTAGGATTGCAATGTCAGTAGCGTCATGTTTGTAAATAGAATAAGAGAGGTAAGTTTTGAAATCTGCAAAGAAATAGAGAGACCAAACATTTTGAAAAATAGTACATTTTCCATTTGAAGGAAAATGTTGCATGTTTAGGGCAGTATTCACTTCCGATAGTATAACATATAAAATATATAAAAATTGTACATAAATTGTTGCGTAGTTTAAATTTTATGATATGATATGATACAAAGGTTAGATATTTGTTATCTGTTTGGTATAATTTTCCGGACCCCGGGCCAAGGAACATGCGATGGGACATTTAGAAACAGGAAGTACTTCAACTTCAAAAGGATTCAGGAGTTTTTGTAGGACTAGATAAACTTGCACCACCAGAAGATTCACTTAGAATCAAAATTACAAAAGAAAGATAAAAAAGTTAAAATCAATGAAAGAGTTGTGGTATTAATAGGGGATTATCCAGCTAGAGGAACTGTCCGGTATATTGACGATGAAAATGGCAATAAAATTGTAGGACTGGAAATGGCAAGTATTAATTTTGTTTATAAATATTGATACCTTTCTAAGGTGCCAGAATGAGAAAAAAATAGTGTCCTCTTCCTGACTTGCATTTTCTTTGCAATTAGAATGCAACTGAAGAGTTTAGAAAATAAATGCGAAAAAGAGCATGAATATTTCACTATGTTAGCATCTAATATGTAAACTGAGGACAAAAATCTTGAGTTAAGAACATATTTATTTAATTGGAAAGAAAAATTGCTAAACGGCATTTTTGTCCACTTTGGCGCCGCTGCGAAGACTTGACTGTTCCGGTTCCTATTCCCCCACCCCACCCAGGCAATGTTCAATTTCTAATCCCTCGGGTACGGACGATAGATCGCAATCGGCCAGTGAAACGTTGTTAAGTAACAGGCTGTGTGTTCAAAAGGTTGAAGGTCAAGAAATTCACATGAAGTGAAGTTTTCTATGAAATCGTTGACTCTTCCGTGCTTGATATGTACTCTAAAACTATATTTGCTGAAAAATTGCTAAGAGAGGTAATAATTTCTCGACGTTGCTAGAAGAGCAAAAAGCTGTTCCAAACGCCAAAAGTTTCTCGAAAGTTGCCGGGCACAATCGGCACCGAGGCCAACAGATAACGCGAACCCCCGCTAACTCGAAGAATTTTCCATTTCCTTAAGGAGTTCTAACTAGCGGGGTTGTACTGTAATTAAAGGACTCGAAAAAGGGGCACCCAGTTCTCTGCGGGATGGAATCCAAATAGACAACTTATCTGTGACGTGCTGGGTCTCCCATCCACCCACCAGTTTGATCTTTGGCTTTGACTCAGTTAAAAATGCAACTCTTTTTGAGCATTTGCTAATTTCAAAATGAACTCACTTTTAATGATCAGTTGACGTATTTGCGTAGAATGATCAAGAGGTGTTCTTTAGAAATCGAAATCAGGTACAAACCTGATCAAACCGCTTGTCATGAGGGGGCTCGTGGGAAGTTGGGTCCAACCCTTTTTAGAAAGATGACGTAATGTTATGTTTTAAAAATAGCTCGTACCTATTCTTCATAAGGTCGAGGCTAGGGAAATTCCCAGAAAGATGGCGTTCATCCTTTGAATTCATCACGATCAATGCAAGGTTTGTTTACAGTAAAGGTGACATCGTTGCTGTGTCCTCGGCACGAAATGGAAGAACCCAGAATTAAGTACATTCCTCTACGAGATCGTGTTGGATAAGCTGTGGAAAAAAACATGTCGCTAAGCCGTAAGGCGATGTCTACACTAATGCAAGTTTTAAGAGGCGAGTTGTTTGAAGGTGCTCCTGAGGTTGAACAGCCTACAGACTTTACTAAAGTAGCTGTTGTCGGAATTGAACGTAAATCATTACGTCTGGAATGTCATACGGTGGATATGACTCTTAACAGAAACGTTACTACCTGTAAAACGAAGCGCACCAAAGACTTTTTAACTTTTAAGTATTTTTAACAAGTGTGATGTATGTTCTACTTGTACTTAATGTATACAGAAATGTACATAGTCGTTCTTATTAAGTTTTTATTGTATCATAACTTGTTAATTCAGTAAGTTAGTGCAAGAGAGTTTGATAAACTACTATTATTATTATTATTATTATTACCTTGTAAATGCCTCTTAGATCTACAGTGTTGTCACCACAAGCAACTAAATTATTAACATTTATTCAAATAACATCTTCACACCTAGTAAAGCATTGTTACATGCATTGGATACCTTTATTGTTCTAAAGTTACTTGAATGTAGAACCACTGTCCAACTTAATTTTCTCATCATTTGCATAAGTTCCTCTAGGTATCAGAGTCCTATTGTTGGTAGAAGGTTAATACTAAGTGTTATTCCTTAGCAGATTATGTATAAATTTCGGTCGAGACAATTTTTACCTAACATGCACATGGACTTTACTCTTAGAATTCTCAAACTAAGGAAAATGCAAATCAATCTCAATTTGCAAGGTGTTTGTTTAATCATCTTAGTGTGGAAATAAGGGATTAGGAGTGTCCTTTAGATAGAAGAAACATTTTAACATAAAAGCAGTTTCTATTTGAGATGATGATAATTTTTTGACAATGATTTCTTTTGACAGGAGAACACAAGGAACATGGGCTACTTGCCACACATTTAACTTCTCACCAATCACCAACATTGAAAGAGCAAGGGAATCACTTGGATCAAGGAACACATAAAAGTGATGGATCTGTGGTAACAACCAAGTTTGTCTCAGACAAGAAGTCCAGTGACACTGCAGAAGCAATGGAAGTGGAAGCAGAAAGACATACATCTTCGAAAGAACCTCCAGAGCAGCCATATGCACAATCACATACATCCACATCTCCTAGAGATAATTTGGCAGTTACTGGGAGAACTGGTCTGTACTCAAAATAGTATTGTTAATTTTCAGAATGACTTAAATACGTATTTCAATGTTGATTTGCTACTATCATGCACTTTTGTTCATTAATTCTTGATGGGAGTGTATGTACTCTACTACTAACAGCAAAGTTGCTGATGAATGACCCTCCATAATAAGGGAACATCAAGATTTGTTTTAAGTCTAATTAGAGTTAAGCTATTGTACTGCATAATCTATTTAATGTAGCCATCAGGCTGCTTAGATGCAAAGACACAAGATGATTTAAATTACAGTACATTTGGGCTCATGTGTTTTCTCTCCTATTCTGCTAGTTTTGTTTTCTGTAATGGGCATTCTGTAATTAGAGTTAGTACGTGGACCGGACAATTAACAATTATTGGATGATGTTGAGCATGACTGCAATAATTATCAAGGCCAATGTTTCTGTTATCTGCCAAAGCTGAAGGCTGAGGCAGATAATTATTGCTATCTTCTCAAAACCTAATCCAATAATTGTTTTATTATGCATATTCCTGAGCTGCACTTATGAAGACAAGAGAGTATAAAACTATTGTCTGTAGGTATGACGTCACTTCTACATACTATTAGATAAAATCTATTATCTGTAGTATGACGTAAGAGAATGTCTAATAATATCAGTCTTTTATTTTTATTTAGTTGATAATACAGAATTTATTGTAAGAATTTAAGAATGCACAACACAGAGAGCTTTAGTAATTCAACCAAGTGGATTTATTCTTACAGGACTGAACAACATGAATGAGACATGGGAATTTGCTTTTAGTCTCAACTAGACCTATGTGTATACATTTTTCCTGATAAGCATTATTGTTAGCTTGAAAGAGAGGGTATAGAGGTTATAGTGGTGACATTTTTCAGCAAAGTGTATCACAACTGTATAGTAAAAGGTAAAGTCAATACTCAAGTCAAGTGGAAACTTATCCTGGTTTTCTGAGGTGACTAGCATTGCTACTCCTCTTCCCCCTCCCAGATGGGAGGCTAGTCCATGGCAGGGTTACCCCCAGCATGTCATCAAGCATCCCTGACAATTTGCCAGTGGCCATTAAAAGTGTGCTGCCCAAGAACAGAGCACGCTGACCAGGCTAGGTCTTGATTCAGAGTCCAGCATACTAATCATTCCACAATCACAACAGGACTGTAATAAGGCTTAAATTGCCAATAGGTTGCAACTGGTTAAGTATGATTTTGCTGGTGACTAGTAATTTTCATAATACTGAAGGTTTTCCTTCAGGTGGTAATGGCATCATGTCAGTTGATAACCATTATGGTCTGGAGGTTGGATCTATGGTAGAGGTTCCTGTGGCAGATGGTGTTGCAAGATGTGGTGTTATTCGTTGGATAGGGAGTATTCCAGAAGTAAAGGGAAAGCTGGTGGCAGGTCTGGAATTGGTGAGTGAAATCATTTACCAGGCTCAGCCAGAGTAAAATAGTTAACAATAAATCCATAGATTTAGTTTTTTGGTACTTTTGTATCAGGGATTTTTATCTAGACACTGTGCTTCATTTCTCTGAAGGAATTGGAGGAGTCAGCATGTTCAGATGGGACTTTTTCTGGAGGTAGATATCATAAAGAGAGATACTTCACCTGTCCAGCAGGAAGAGGTTTCTTTGTTCTATTGGAACATTGCCGACCAGATTCCCGCTTTGCTAACTCAGCAACCACTGATGTCGGTTTAAATGCTGAAAGAGGTAATCAAGCAAAATTTGAAAATTGTTCAGAGAATTGTGGAAAATATGTAGCAATCAAGATTCATCTGAGCCTTGACCCACTACTGTGTAAATTCCAATCATGCTTTGCACAGTACTTTTATTGTTATTTAACCCTCCCTTCCTACCAACACTTCTACCCCTACCCCATCCTCCTCTGCTCCATTCTTAATTTTCTAATTTTTTGGAAGCAGATTATTGTAGACATTGCATATTATTGCAGAAGGACACAAAAATGGTTTTTATCATTTTATTGATTTTCTTCAAAAACTTAATTTTTAACAAATTAGTTTTAAATTAAGTTTTTTAATCACTAATTCAGTGTCTTGGGTTTTTTTTTTTTACAGCAACATGCATGTTTCTGCTCAAATGAAAGTTATATCATGAAAATTTGCCTTTGTTCAACTTCTTTTGATAATTGTTCTGCACCCTGTTGCCTGAATTATCCCTTAGGGGTGTGTCTTAAAGGAGATGTATGCTCCAGATACCTTATACCCTTTATCTCAGCCAAAAGTTGTCTTTCTATGTGCTAAAAATACTTCTACGAGCTTAATTTTTAATGGTTTGAAACGTTACTCCTTGGAATCTTGAATGGTGTTTTAACACCTGTTAACATCTTAAAAGAAGTTAATTAAGTACACGTATTGTTTAGAAGTGACAATAAGTATTACATGTGTACGCTTTCTAGAGCCTACCTGTCCCCCAAATATTTACCATAATGTTCCGTAGCTCTTTACTGATTTATAACAATCTTAAAAGGGTAAGTTTATTTAGTTACCGTGGTTTAGCTACTGATTGCGATAATTTTGATTGGATGAATAATTGATTGTTTTTAGACTTTGCAAGCATGCCATCTCCAGAAGTGCAAGGCATAACCGAGCCTCCAAAAACTCTTGAGGAGAAATACTGTGGACTCATGCATGGTCTCCAGGGTCACCATAGCTCATGCTACCTAGATGCCACACTTTTCAGTATGTTCGCCTTCACAATTGTGTTTGACACCCTGCTGCATCGTCGCCGAAAAGACGACGATTTGGAGGAATATGATAAAGTGCAGAGTGTTCTGAGAAACTGCGTACTGAGACGTTTTTCTCATACTTTTTAAATGCTTTTCGCGTGGCAAAATTCACTTGAATGTGACATTTTCATGCGAAATGACCAAAGAAATCATACGGAGATCCTGTGTAGATTTTACTTTTGAGAGAAGACTGAGCGCACGCAGTTAAACAACCAGTTGGGTGTTACTGCGATGCCACTCGGTTTACTTACTCAAGCAACGGTGTCCGGTCTTTTCGTCCAAGAGTCTTTTCGTCCGAAAGTGTTTTCGTCCGAGTCTTTTCGTCCAAAAATATTTTCACCTAAGTTTGTTCGTTTACTTGTTAAGTCTTTTCTCGAAGCAAATAAATAACTATTATATTATATTATATCATAGATAAGGCTACATAAAGAACTTATCAGTGCGAGCCGTTGCCCTTTTGGTTCACCAATCTTCGTTTTACGAATTCAACGTCATGAATTTAATACACAGAGAATCAATGAATTTGTAACGCATTATATTTTATTAAATAGTAGCAAAAATAAAGACTTGCTTGCCGTTTAATCATTTCACGCGAAAGAAATGGGAATATTAGGCTCGTTGTTACGCGTCTGTTGAGCGTAAAAGGCAACGAAGTTTGACATTACTACGTGTCCGACATACCCAAATGGCGGCGGTTCACAATAAGTTCTTTTAAATAGCCTTATCTAGCCTTCTAGAATTTATTTATTTGCCTCGAGAAAAGACTTAACAAGTAAACGAACAGACTTAGGTGAAAATACTTTTGGACGAAAAGACCGGACACCAAAAGTTTAATGACAGAGCAACATCATAAGCTGATTGAAGCTCGACCAGAGGCCTTCAAGTTAAGAGAGGAACTGACACTACTTCGGAATGAGGTGTCACAAAGCCGCTTGCCAGTGGACCGGATCAAAAACTCTTTTTTAAGTTTAACTCGTGAAAGAAAAATTTTGGGAATGTGCCAAGGCATCTCGTTCCCAGAAGAGAAAAAAGATACAANGAACAAACTGCTAATTTACAAAATCATGCTACTGCCTTAAGGCAACAACTGGAACAAAAAGACCAGGAAATGACTGAATTGGAAAGAACTCTCTCAACTGCTCAGGATGAGTTACGTGATTATCAACGCCAACAGTCTCCTGAGTGGGTCATCTCAAGGGATCACATTCAGCTGACAGATAAATTTCTCGGCAAAGGAGGCTGGGGAAGTGTTGTCGAAGGCAAATATTGTGGTTGTACTGTTGCAGTGAAACAGATCCATGAGTTGATTCTCTCTCCTCACAACCTCAAATTATTTGAGCGAGAAATGGACATTGCTTCAAGATGCCGCCACCCTTGTTTGCTGCAGTTTATCGGAGCAACCAATGACGAAGGAAATCCATTGTTTGTAACGGAGCTAATGGAAACAAGCTTACGCACTTTGTTGGAACAGAGAGCACTTTGTGAGGTTGAAATCTCTCTTATTTCCCTGGATGTGGCTCGGGCGCTAAACTACCTTCACCAAAAGCAACCATCTCCCATTATACACCGCGACATTAGCAGTGCAAATGTGCTACTCTGGCGACAAGGGGAGCATTGGCGAGGCAAAGTGTCAGATTATGGAACCGCCAACTTTATTCAGCAGACCATGACAGTTGCTCCTGGTGCTATGATATATAGTGCCCCTGAAGCATATACTAAAAATCAAACCGTCAAGGTTCGCTGTATTTTTTTCTTTTTTTTCTTATTAGAGATATGTGCGCATTCACATGCATGTAGGTATGTGAGTCACCTCAAAGAAAAGGTTTAGCAATTTTTACTTGTAACGGGCATTGATATTAATTTTGTAAATGTCGTTAAAAGGTCGGGGCTATTTATCGTCACAGCATACAACGTGCAACATACTTAAGTATTGTCGCTTAGAAATGGATCGAGAGATTTTGAGTCATTAGACTTAATAAACGTTAGTGCAGTGCTGTATTTTCTTTCATTTTCGTCCTTTAACTTGTTCAGGTTGATGTGTATAGCTTTGGCGTCCTCCTCTGCGAGATGTGCATCCGAGAAATGCCAGATCCACAAAAGCGAGTTAGGCAAGTTACTATGGTTAAAAACAAATTGAATCGAACCCTTATCCGGAGATGTTTGGAATCAGAGCCTGAGGCGAGACCAAGCATACAGGAGATCATTGATGAACTTGAGGAACCTAATTAAAAGATGTTTCAGGTTCGGTTGTGCCCTAAACGCTGTAATTGAAGTGGTATGTATGCTATCGAGGGACATCTCTTGTATATAAATCCCCCTGGACATATTCAGACATGATTAGATTGATTTTAATTAATACCGTCAACTAAGGACATTTACTACATGGGAGGTTGTCCTTTCAGTGTTGCGTCGTAGAAAGACTTAATTCATGAGTAAACAAGTTTTGTGATTTCGGTTGATTTCTTTTCGACAGTTAGGTTTGAAATTGGGGGGGGGTGTCATTTTTATTCCCTGGTTCTAGCTGAACCATTTTGAATCAATGACGTTTGATCGGTTTAATGTTCATTATGCCTCTTGCGTATACCGTGCACTTTTAAGGTTATTCCGTAATATTGCATTGCAGATCCTTATACTGCGCATAATTTCACTCCTGCTTACTGCGCACACATTTAAAAATGGAAGCTTTTCTATATGGTCGGTGATCACCAAGAGGTAAAT